CCGTGTCTCTACGTCTCTCCTCGTCTCTCTCCGTCTTTCTGTCTCTCTGACTCTCTTTCTCTGTCTGTCTGTCTGTCTGTCTGTCTGTCTGTCTGTCTGTCTGTCTGTCTCTCTCTCTCTCTGTTTCTCCCTCTGTGCGTCTGTCTGTCTCTGGCTCCTTCTTTATCTGTCTCTCTCGAGTGAAATTTCAGAATCGCAGGGGCAGAATATGCAATGAAGACGCTCTTAATAGTCATACTTCAGGATGCTGCGGGTTGCTTAGAGCGCCCAGTTCAGGGGCGCTTGAGTGAGCATAAAATTATCATAAACTACTCGTATGTGCGTGGGCACACGCTCATTTCCATCATAAGACCTATGTTCTTCCCAGAAGTGCAAGCAATAAGTTCACAAAGGTTTATTGCTATTGGATGAACGGTACAACAGCGCATGAAGTACGAACCAACCAAAATCCAGTTTTTTATATATTAGATTATTATTATTATTATTATTATTATTATTATTATTATTATTATTATTATTATTATTATTATTATTATTAGCGTATTTTCCCAATAATGGAAAACGTTAAGCAAAAATTGACTCGTTTTTGTGGAGTTCTACTTGGTTTTTGGGTTCTTAATTTTCTAATATTCTTTCATTCTGTTGGAGAATGCCAGTTTTCTTTCTTCAGACCATTTCGGTCTATATGGTTTTGATTTTGGTTGTTCTGGTTTGACTTCCCATTTGTTCACTTTGTTGCGGAAGGTGTTTTTGTCTGAGGTGTCAGTTATGTCGGCGTGTCGCATGTCTTTTTTTGTTTCTTTCATCCATGGTGTTGTACTTTTAAGCGAGGATATATAGTTTAGTATTCTTTTAGTTAGTCGAGTATTTGGTAGCCTGTCTATGTGTCCGAAGAATTTCAGTCGTGTTTTCCTGATGTCCACTTCTATGTTCGAGTACTTTTCAGTTGTCTCAATAGATTGTAATCTGTATCCATCGGGAGTGAGTCTCGCACCGAGTATTTTTCTAATGATTTTTCTTTCTTCTTTTTTGATATCTTCCAGTTCATATTCCTTGCTGAGCGTGAGTGTTTCGCTAGCGTAATGAGCTGCCGGTTTGATGACAGTATTGTAATGTCGAAATTTGGTTTTATTAGACATGCATTTTTTGTTGTACAGGTTTTGGACTAGTGCGAATGCTTTCTTGATTTCCTGGAGGCGGGTTTGATGTGAAATTCTTTCGGATCCGGTTGGTTCGATGAACTCGCCCAGGTATTTGAAATGTGGTACCCTTTTGACCGTTCCTTACCTTGTGTGCATGTTGTCACCTTTGTGGGATAGGACTTGAGTTTTCTCGAAAGAGATCTGTAATACTACCCTTTTTGCACATTCTTTGAGTGTTTCTAATTGTTTGATAGCGGTCTCTTGGTTTTTAGACAGTATCGCTATATCGTCGGCAAAGGCAAGGTATGGTATGCAGAGGATATTTTTGGGTATGCCGAGTGTGATAGGTTTCCAAGCATCTTGTCTTTGAAGTTCTTTTTCCCATTCTTCCATTACTTTGTCCAAGACTAGGTTGAACAGGAGAGGAGAGAGGTCATCTCCTTGTCTCACGCCTGTCCGAATTTCGAACGGTTCTGAGATTTCTCCCATGAATTTCACTTTAGAATTTGTTTTTGTAAGTGTTTGCTCGATAAGTTTCCGTGTTTTGTGGTTTAGTCCTCTTTCTTCTAGAATCTGGAACAGTGATTGTCGATCGATAGAGTCGTAGGCATTTTTGAAGTCGACAAATGTACATGTTACTGGTTTGTTTCGAATTGCTCGCATTTTGATTAATGTTTTTAGGTTGAAGTTTTGTTCGGGACAGGATCGGTTTGGTCTGAATCCTGCTTGAAAATCTGATAATCTGATTATTATTATTATTATTATTATTATTATTATTATTATTATTATTTACTTTTTTTACGCAGCGTCGATGTCACAGAACCACAACGAATCGTGGCGTTTCGCAGAGTAATGGTGTGTAAGATTGTGCATGAAGTGACTACAGTACATTTCTTCATCCATCATTCGCGCTCTCTGTGTACAATTAGTAACTTGTAAAAGGTTGTGGTAGGACCTACAATATCCGAATCCTTTCTAGTGCCGAAAAATCAAAATTTAATAATGTTTTCAATGTTTTTAGCAGTTTTTGAGAGAACACAGTGTTGGCGCAGTAAGGTCTCTCTCTATGTGCCAAGCGAGTGATCGTGGGCCGCTGCGACATTTCGAGCAATTATGGTGTGCTCAAAACAAAAGAATAGGGCATGGATCGCTTACATGCGGCTGGAGACGGCGCAGTTAATAAGTACTTAAGAAGAGAAAGAAAATATTCTTCAAATATTTCTTCACTCGTGGGCAATAATGTTTGTATGTAAGCGAAAGTTTAATTTGTAAATCGATATAATACGTTTTTATTTAAATTCTATCTATTCACATCTGTATCATAGAATGAAAAATGTAATACCCTAATCCTTCATCGTTTTGTAGCTCAGAATTCAACGATTTTACAAACAAACTACTTCTACAAATTACTATTTTTTAATTAAAAACCATTAAGTATTATTAAATATTAAACTTAATATTTTAATTTTGTCGAAAGCATTTTATGATAAATAAATTACTTTGTTTATAATTTATATTATCTTTGTGCTCACATGTATATATATATATATATATATATATATATATATATATATATATATATATATATATATATACACATACAAATCCCCCCCCCCAAACATTCGTATCTAGATCCGCCCTTGGTCTAAAAATAACTCAAACAGCTTGGAGTAGTAGGCTACTAGAGCGATTTAGAATCAATATTGACACGTAAAGTTGTTTTAAAAAACTCATATTTGCTTCACCTGAAAAAAAGTGTTTTATATCGTATTCGGTTTTAGCCCATCACCACAGAATTAGCCATACTTAATGATTATTCTTGATGTAATAAAAACTTTCCTTTTCAACGGGCGTCGGCGAGTTTTTTGCGTTATGTTGTCATGGGCATTCCGTGTGACGAACACAGCTGCTTTTCGGTGCTATTGCCCTGCAAGTAGGTCAAGGACTTGGCCCGCGCGACGCAGGTGGAGCTGCCGCGAGCCATAACATGACGTTTCGAGGGAAATACTCTCGAACTTCAACAAATTCTTAACAATTGTATCCCTTACTCCAAGAATACTGAAGATGTATTTATATCTGTTCAAGTCAGCAGATGATTTTGAATGAATGGCATGATGTCATTCTCTTTGATTCTCAAATTTTGATAAGAGAAGTTTTTAACCTTTTCGCACCATAAATAATATAGAAGTGATACGATGGTCGGTAAGAGCAATGTAGAGATTTATTGTTGTTTCACAAAACTAAACACAAGTCACGCCATCATGCACCTATTTAAGTCAAATACGATCTAGTAACTCGTACTTTCGCGCAGTGTGTCTACCGTTTGAACCGAATGTGACAAATTACCATGTTTTTCTTTAGTGAAATATTTGTCGTTCCAAACTGCTTCAGTCTACGACCTCAGCATACTGGATTAGGTTTAGCAACTTGTTTGGTAACAGCTTATTCTGAATAACCAATTTAGTAACATTTCAAATTGCGAATATTTGGTAATGGGCTGATCACATCGCTAGAGAATCGCCAATTTAAATTGATCACAACTCACTCAGGTGCTTAATACGCCTTTTCTTTTGGAGGAAATTACAGCGTACACCAAAATTCGTGATGGGCCTCACACTGGAAAAACTACAGAAACCACTCGTTTCCAGAAAAAATGTTGGCATTCCAAAGATTTACAGTATCCACATTGAAACATGTTTGGGAAATCAAGTTGTTTTTACTTATACACTGTGAATTGTAATAAGTTGATACTGTTGAAATAATTCGGTTAAAAATTGATATGACAAATGTGTCTCTTACGCATCCTAGCGTGAAAGTACGAGCTGTTAACATTTTCTCTGTTTATTTATTAGTATTTCTTATATGCTATTTTTCATTCTGGTAATACTTTGTGAATTCTTTGCTAATTTCCCCCCACTTATTTCACAAATGATTACACAGACCTTCTTTGTCAAGTAATTTACGTTTTCTTGTTGACTTAAGCAAATGTGTTTTTGAAATAGAGCAACTTTATTAATATCAAGTCTTTGCAGTATTAGCTTTCATAATAAAAAGCTCAAAACCACAACTAAGTATCACGCATGGAATCGTAAGACTTGGCAATGACACATACCCATTTTACGCTTTTAAAACAGAACCGATCACACGCACTAGGTCATTTAGCGCACACCAGATTATTCTATATACATTCATCACTTAATGTGTATAATTTATACTATTGAAAATTCATGTGAATAGTTCAGTTCAGTTCCTTATACTTTGCATCTTTTTGTGACTCCTGTACCCCATACTTATTACTTGTACCGATTACTGAATGTTATATAATATAAAATGTTACGCTATTTTCAAAATTCATAAAATGAGACGCCAGACTCCTATAATTACATTGTGCAGCTATATCACTAGTTGTGATCTGTCCGAATCCCATATACCCATCTGGTGAGAGTGCAGATGGTAATTCGATACTTGTGATTCTCTCTGGTGCATGGGGCAGCTCTCTTAATCGTTGTGTCTTACGGGTTGCGTGCCTACCGATAGGACTACCTTATTTTCTAGGAGAAAACAGATTACAGATTTACTTTACGTATTCTGTACGATTACAGTTCATTACGTTACTATTGACGCTAAAAACACAACTGAACATAAATAATTGAACGAATATGACAATGATTTTTATTTGTTTCTTTACATCTCATATCACAAAAGAAATGACAAACTGCGAAATGCACGCATGGAAAAAATAACTGTTCAGTATCAAAGTGATTTAAAAATGGTAATAGAAGTGTTTATGATATGCGTTGTACAGAAACTTCTTTAACAACAGGTCTTGCAATGAGAGGAAGTAATTTTCTTTCTTACCTTTTTCGATAAGAGGAACTGTAATGCTGTGTTAGCATTGCTAAGAAAATGAGGTCTCTTCAAGTTACGGCCACGTTCCACTGGCTGAAAGGAAAATATATAATTATTAATATCACATTCATAATTAAAGTATGAATAAATACAAAAAATGGCAAAGAAATAAGAACTAGCTGCAATGTGCTACAATTACGGTTCATAAGCTTCATTTCCGAGGATGTAACTTATGAAACGAAGTGACAGCTATAACCCATATCTCTATACTACTTGTTGGGATCTATCTCGCACTTTAACTTACCAATCAAAGTATAATGCCAAAATGTTATAGTTTAAAATACACCCAGACAGTGTGTACTTCCAAAGGGATTTACAGAGAATGGCGCTCTGAAAATCGATTTAATAACGCAGCGTCCTCTCTTCCAATGAGCCCGAAAGCACTGGGAAGCGCAGCTGAAGAACGCATGCAGAACGAAGGAAGGTACTGATCAGGAAGCTCACATTGCATCAGTGGGATTCAAAACTAGGTTTTGTTTGTGAAATTTGTGGTGGTTAAATCTGTTTGTGACAGATTTTCGTGGGTTTCTCGCGTTTCCCCAGTCCCTCAATCCATAACATTGCTCACTCACCATTCAAGACATATCATTACCAGTAATTCACCGAATCCCTTCATCTCAGGTAAGGCTGAAAAGGCTAGGGACTGAGGATCACAACAAAGATGCCAACAACGCGCGCGCTCTATCAGTTTTAAATCAGTCCGACACCATAGTCGTGTCAAAGAATATCTTGGAGGACTTTATTTGAATAAACTACAAAGTTTGCAAATGTTAAGAAACTAGAGCTAAATAATGAATTGGGAAAACCAATCAATAGACTAAAAATACACAGCTTCCATCACAGACAACCGAACGATCTCAAGGGAGGACTGTGAATGTTTCCTGCGCGGAAAACAATGAGGTCGATACCACTTCATCAGGTACACCATGACGCAAAAACCAATAAATGCACATCTATGCGCTTTACTTTTGTTGATGTTATTATTATTATAATTATTATTCTGTTTATTCTCAAAGTTTTTGGTTTCACATGGATACCACACAGAAACAATATCAGAGCAGGTAACACAGACATATTTATTATTATTATTATTATTATTATTATTATTATTATTATTATTATTATTATTATTATTTTTCCTCTACATCACGACTAAGATGTTATGCGTCGGCTGAATTTAAAATCTACTTCAGATTGCAACTGGCTACCTGAGAAGCAGATCTAGTGACTGTCAGTGCCTCTACAAAATTTTACGCAAAATGTCAGTTGTTCGAAATAAAGTAATTTATTGAACTTTCCAGACTTTTGAATGACCTGGGAGTTTAGCCAGGTTCTTACACAAATTTTGCGGAACAAATTCCAGAGCTCCGATGACTATCGGTACGACCTGTGTTTTTACGCCCCACATTCGGCTGATCTCGATTTCCAAACTCTTCTATTTAAGACGTTTCTCTCGTTCATTGGTTATGACGTTTTGATCGCAAGACACAGAAACAGCTACAAGTAGACACGATTTTTTTCTTCAAACCCAGGATAACAATATCCTGTTTGTTGTGTGCTATCGTGCGATCTGTTTGAATTTATTGGTCGTACAATATTGTGTAGAGTCCAACAGATATCACCAGTTTTGGTGAGTGTTCGTACCACTTCGGGCATGTGTTTGGAACTTCGAGAGCGGTACAGATCTGCCAGTGGAGGTAACACTGTTGTGTCTTTTCAAGTATTCGGTCTTTGCTAGAATTGGACAAGCTGAGACGATATGATCAATGGTTTCTACTTGTCCCAGGCAGATACGGCATTTATCATCTTCGAAAATTTTGAGAACCGCTTTATGTCGTGATATAATATCGTGTTCTCAACGCCTGATCCTAAACAGCTATGAGAACTGCTTTTTTAATTTATTTATTTATGTCAGAAACAGCTAAAAACTGTGTATGACGTGCTATGGGGAGAAGTTAATTTGAAGTTACATTCTTGAGCTTCCGATTCTGGCTTCAGCCTTCCCCTTTTAAGCCACATAAATGCTTGATCTTTATTGATCTGCACCTCCATTCTTTTTAGATTTGTCCATGAAGTGGTTTGTCTCTCCACGATTTCTTTAACATTTCTTGCGTCTCACACTTTATGATTAGTAGAATCATAAGTTCAATGTCTGAGTTATTATACGTGTCTTGCGTAGTTTTCTTTGCAATGCTTCTTGGTACACTAACAATGCCTATGTTTCCCATTCTTCGGATATCATGACTTGCGACATTAAAGGGTCATCTTGATGACTACATACTTTCCCACCTCGACTATTGTTTTGTTCCATGAGGCTTCAATTTGTCTGAGGTCTCTTCCTCCTTCCTTGCGTGGCATATAAAGTTTATGGACATCAGCTCGAGGGTGGGTGACATGATGCATTGTTAGCAGTTTTCTGTTTCTTCGATCCATGATTCGAACTTCTTGCAGTTTATTATTATTATTATTATTATTATTATTATTATTATTATTATTATTATTATTATTATTATTCCTTTAATTCACGACTATAGATGTCTCGAGTCCGTTGTTTATAAAATCTACTCCGGGATGGAACCAGCCCACCTAAGGCGCAGTTCTACGGAATGTCGGTGTCTACAATACTTTGCTGAAGATGTGGGTGATTACCAATAAAGCAATGTCTTACACTTCCCAGTCCTTTGAATAACCTGGGTGTTTTGCCAGGTTCTCACACAATTTTTTCGGAATAATTTCCAGAGCTACCATATCTATCAGAACGACCTGTGCTTTTACGCCCAGCATTCGGCTGATCTCGTTATCCGAACTCTTGTATTTAAAACATTTCTTTTCCTTCTTGGCTTCGGTGTTTTGATCGCACAGCAGATCAATATCTACAAGTAGATACGTTTTGTCTCCAAATCCTGGTTAACATTATCCTGTTTATTTGTCGCTATCGTGCGATCAGTTTGAATTTGTTGGTCTTACAATACTGTACACAGTCCAACAGATGTCATCGGTTTTGATGAATGTTCGTACTTTGGATCATGTATTTGGGACTTACCTGACGTTACAGATCTACCAGTGGAGGTAACTACACACCCTACTGTGTCTTTTCAAGTATTCGGTTTTCGCTAGAATTGGACAAGCCGAGACGATAGTAGACAATGGTTTCTACTTGTTCCCTGCATGTGCGGCATTTGTCAGCTTGGAAACTTTTGTGAACAGCTTTATTATAATGTCGTGTTCTCAACACCTGATCTTGGGCAGCTATTACAGCGGCTTCCGATTATGGCTTTCTTCTTCCCCTTTTAAGCCACATTAATGATTAATCTTTATTGATCTGCCCCTTGTCCATTCTTTTTTAGATATTGTCTTGGAGTGGTTTGTCTCTCCGCGGTTTCTTCAACATTTTTTATCTCACATTTCATGTTCAGTAACTTCATAAATTCAGTGACTGTGTTATTATACCTGCCTTGCATTGCTTCTTGCAAACATAATGCATCTGTTTCCTATTCTTCGGTCAGATGTAGTGACCAGCTCCCTTAGTGGGTCATTTTGTTGACCGACTACATACTTTCTCATCCCGACTATTACATTGTGCCAGGAGGCTTCAATTGCCTGAGACCTCTTCCTCCTTCCTTACGAGACAAATAAAGTCTATGTACATTAGCCCGAGGATGGGCCACATGACAGGTATTATAATGTGACGTCATGGAAACTCACAGCGACCACAGACACAGAGCTTTCGTATAACAATATATTTATTAACAAAGAAAACAAAACAAATATATACACTTAATAATCTACTTACACCCTAGCTCTGATAGACCTACTATCCCCTGATCGCGGGAGCGATCCAAACCCGATTGAAGATGGTTTTGATTGTGGCATTCGCCACTCCTACTTTTGAAGCGCGCACAAAGCCTAGCTTCCGTGACCGGATGTCACGCTGGGACACAAAGTCCATTCTGGCGCACCAACGGCTGGTTTGCCTCGATCGCAGGAGCGATCTTATCCGATTGAGAATCGGCGTGAATCGTGGCACTCAACCACTCTTCACCTCGGAGCACGCACACAGCATCGCTCCCCCGTGACCGCAGTTACCCAAGAACCTAAAGTCCGCAGGTTTCGTCAACTAGTGACTCGAGCCTCGCGAGCCTGTTCTCCCACTGTCTCCAGAACCCACCCACTGGCTCTGTACACTCTGTTATATAGGCGAGGCCCACGTGACATACTACGTCACGCCACCGCCTCGTTTGTTATAACAGTGAAAAGCTTCTATAAGCCGGAAGACGCCAAAACCTTGTGTCTCCCGTTTCCGCGTTCATGCCTTTACGGAAAAACCCTTCTTCCTGTGGCGAGGCTAATCCTCTGTCAAGCGTCCCCAAATAGATGCGACGAGGCACGCTGGCTAATACGTTACAATAAGCAGTTTCCTGATTTTTCGATCCATGATTCGAATTTCTCGCTCAGTCTTGTCCACAAGTCCGAAACTGTACTCGGCTACAGTCACCCCCAAATTATCTATTGCAGATATTTTATTCCTGGAGTTCAGAGCGTACTGTAGGACATGTCTCACTACTCTGTAATACTCCCTGCGAATTCTCTTTCGTTCGGTCGTTCGAGATGTTCTAACAGTCTTCAATGCCCATTTGTATGTTTTACCTGGCGCAAGGTCTTGAATCACAGTACTCATCAACTTCAATGCTCTCTGATTATTGTTGTTATTATTATTATATAATAATAATTATTATATATAATAATAATATCATTACTATTATTACTGTTGTTGGTTTGGGAAGTCCTTTACAAGAGACGTAACACATCTAGACATCTCTGTAAGTCACGGGCTTGACGATCGCACTGAGTAATTAGAAGCACAGTAACACATACTTCCTCACATTGTAAACTTGATAGCTTTCGAAAATTCTGCACGGTAAAAGAAAATTAGACATGCTCCATTCTTTTAAGCGACCCTTTTTAAGTTTGTCGAATAAATTTAAAAAAAGAATGGACTGTTTTTTGAGAAAAGGTTTTTTGAATAATTTGCA